TAGTGATAGATGGTTAGCAAATTCAAAACTGACTTGTATTTAAATAATTAGCTATACAAATCTAACTACTGATTAAAAATATGTAAAGATTGGATACGCATCTCTTTAGAAATGTATCCCTACGTGGAATTCGTCTGTGACGCCGTCATGACGTCTAGTCCCAGCTGGGCATCATCCCCGTCGTATGTGAATCCATAAATGGATATCACATTCACGAGGTTGGGTCATATTGATGTGCCTCAGGTTTAAGTTACCACGTACCCTTTGAGATCTCCCCGATACTTATCATATACTTAACGGACTCGAGTAACTATTGGCCCGTTACAAGGTGTTTGACCTCATAACACCGTTACATAGACGGAACGGTAGGAGCTTGTTAATGCCTGGCAAAGTAATGGCCCATAGTGTGACGCACCAACGTGTTTTGATATGTCAGTATTCAATCTTTTCTCAACCAATCAGATGCGCAAACACGTGACAACTTCAACGTACATGGGTCGTGGGACAATTGTGCTGTCAACGGTGGCATCGACTATTAAATACGGCAATTGAAAGGTTCTTTTGGACGTCAGTTGAGTTTTTTCAGGCTTAAAAGCAATTAAAACGATGTCCACAGTGGAAGGTGAACCCCGTGCAGTGCTGATCCCGATTGTTCGTCCAGTAGCTTTTGCTTGCACTGTTTGTATCTAGCAATATCTCAAGTCGATTCTTTTCACGTTGTCATTTTCAATGAAAGGCTGACGGGACGGAGGAGATTGAGGCGATCGCGGTGGCAGACGTTCTGACACGTGGTGGTATGATGGTGACGCTGGCGAGCGTTGGTCGCAAGATGCAGAATATCGTGACCATGTCGCAAGGAACGAAAATACAGGGTGATATCGCCATTGAAGCTTGTGTTGATCTCAGTTTTGATCTCATCATGTGCCCCGGAGTAAGTGAGCATGAGCTTTCAGGCTAATCATAGATCGGTTTAGAAACCTTTGATGTTCTGATTGTTGCAACCTATTGCTTGAAACGTGGTATGAATAGGGTCCAGGAACCTCCACGATTCGGGCGAGCTGATAACAATGCTGCAAAAACAAAAACGGCAAGGCCGATACTACGGTGGCATTTGCGCGGCTCCAGCCGTTGTTCTATTGCCCCATGGACTACTTGATTCTGGCCCGGCTACGACGTATCCGAGCTACGAATCGAAGATGGTCGGAGTGGATTACCGTCCTAACGAGCGTGTTGTAGTTAATGACAAGTGCATTACTAGTCAGGGTCCTGGTACTGCCATCGAGATGGGATTAAAGCTTGTTGAACTACTTTGTAGCCAGGAGATGGCGCAGAATGTGGCTAAGGCTTTAGTTGTGTGAGTCGTTTAAACTGCCGACAAATATGTGATCGACGAAACAAAAGGTCAACTGTTAGAACAGATAATTAATATATAACATTTGCTAAGACCATGGCTATGATAAAGCGTGGCAGCCCAAGTTCTTTATCAAGTGTTTTGGAAGCGATATCCATCTACCACCCTAACGTTATTGAGCAATCATAAAGACGAATAGGATGGTCACAATAAGTTTATCTGACTTATTCGAAGCAGAAGGGGGGATAGCTAACATATTGTTAACAAGTTGCAGGTTTAAGTCAAAATTACTTCTTACGCATCCCTCCATCAATTGAAGCTACATTAGCTATTAATTAGTCGAAGAAGCCAATGATTTGATGAGGTCAAACATCATGGCTTGCTGCTGCTGGATTGTAGCAAGTAATTGTGCATGCTGCTCCTGTTGAATCTGTTGCTGTTCACGATACAACTGCTCAAGCCGCATAACTTGCTCTTCGGAGTGACGCTTCTGTGCTGCCAACTCCCGGCCTCTCCATCTTGCGCTCCATCATCTCCAGACGACGCTGAGCTATTTGCTCACGATCCTGCACAAGATCTGGTACTCCAGTACAAGCAGCCGTCTCTCGACGATCTTTCGCCACAGACATCTGATCGCCAACTACTGTCAATGACTTGCTATTCCTCTTCTGAGTCGCGCGCGCATGCTCGTCAATCTGCGTTGCCACCTCTGCAATCAACGCACACTTCGTGTCGATCTCTTCTTCCGTTCCGGACTTGCGCAGTGCCGACGTGTTGCCGGCTTTCATGTGACTCAACAGCAGATTTATCCGCGCCTGACACGCACCCGCCGTCTTCTCCAGCCGGAACGAGTCATCTGACCGCAGCTTTTCCATTACTTGCTGCCATCCGTCCATCGCATACGGAAAACCCCACGGCTTAATGGCCAGCACATATGTCAGTAGCAAAATGTCATCCGACGAAACAAAATGTGACCGAGTACCAACAGTAGATGAAGAAGCTGCAGTATGTGCAGTAGCTGCAGTAGAAGCACAAGCATCACTAGTCCTTGCAACTGTAGTAGCTGGTCTCTTCCTCGCTGAGTCCATCCATGTCCCTGTCACCTCACTTAATTCCGTCACCTCAGTGGTACTTCTCTTGTTTCCTGTCACACCCAAGACTGCACTCTCTGTCCCATCCAAGCAATGCTCTACAACCGTCTGCTGCTGCTGCATCTCCATCTCTTCCGTCCCTGTAGGAGCCACTGCAGCAGCTGCTCTCTTCATCTGCCATCGATGCAGTCCATGTCTCTTCTTAAAACGATGTACCCAAGCCACTGACACGCTCTCGTCACTGCCCCTCGTACGTTTGAGAATCTCATTCGCCTTGGTCCAAAGCTCTGCATCACTCAGTCCATGACTACCACCAGCTTCCTTCATAGTCACACCCAATTGACGCCAACGTGCCTCAATAAGTGCGTATAACTCCTGCTCCATGTCTGGATAACGACCGCTCTGGAAGCGTGTGGCCTCCGGGTTGGCACTCACCTCCTCGGGAGCGCGTACGATGTGGCCCACGGTGGAGCGTGCGATCCATTGACCAAACGTCGTATATGCCCATTCACGCAGCTCTTCCTGTGTCAACTCTGGGTGCTGCTTATGGTAGCGCCGTAGTCGGTTCTTGTCGCTGATAGTCAAGTGATGACGACTACGAGACGACATACCGGCATCGACACAAAGCTGCCGTTATGCTGTTGTCTAGACTTGATAAGAAAGAAAAGGCTCGTGCGCTAAACAAAGCACGTACAAACGGACAAACGTACAAAAGTGCTATGTAACTGTCGTTGTCATTCAAGTGTGCTAGAATGTAGCCATCACACAATCCCAACTGTGGTCTGAGTCACACTTGATCATGTGGCAACAAGAGGTCCGTTGGATGCGGCACGTGGTACACGCGAAGGACCGGGAGCTTCGTCTAGACCGATGGTTACGGTACCAGTTTCCGTCGCTATCACAGAGTTTTCTGCAGACGCAGCTACGTAAACGCAAAATCCGACTGCAATTTTCTTCATCAAGTAACCAAACATCTCGAGCCAATTCGCTGCTATTTGAAGACTCGGTCGTGTCCATTGATGTACATTTGTTTCGATCCAAGATGGAATCAGTTGCACGGAAGACACAGCAAGTGACAAGGCAGGAAGAGACACTGATGACGATGGAAGACAAGACGAAAGTGAGGTACTTGAAACAGCGTCTTTTGTATCAGGACAAGCAATTTGTGATACTAAATAAGCCTTACGGACTTGCAGTGCAGGTTTGATACATGCTAGAAAGCAATCGCTCGTCATTTCTGTTACTAGTCAGAAAGAGAAAGATTGACCTTTGTATTGTCGTTATGCTATAGGGCGGCTCGGGGTTGATAGAGTCGTTGGATCGGTACTTGCCGTCCATTGCAGCATCGTTAACAGGCAGGCACTATCAGTCACAACACAATGCGGATGAGCATCGGACGCTGAAGCTAGTGCATCGACTCGATATGGACACGTCGGGGGTACTGGTGTTGGCGCGTTCCAGACTCGCGGCCGCGAAGTTCTCGAAGCTGCTGCAAAATGGTGATGTGCACAAGACGTATCAAGCGCTGGTAGCAGCATCCTCATTTGCAGATAACAGCTATACGAGCTTGAAAAAGTTTGAGGGACGGGAGATCAAGCTCCCGGTGGACGGCAAGTCGGCGTGCACGTTTGTGAGGCGAGTACTGCGGCAAAGTGATCAGACAGAGCCTATCGGGACATGGCTGCAGCTCCAGCCTCGTACCGGACGCAAGCACCAGCTCCGAGTGCACTGCGCACAAGTGCTAGGTACACCGATTGTCGGGGACGCCAAGTACGGTGGGCGTCCTGCCGATCGACTGTATTTGCACGCATCGCGCATTCGATTCCCTGACCCGTTCAGTACCGGGAGGTTCATCGACGTCTCCTGCGAGATGGCTTCAGTTGACGTAAATTGGAGCTGACGCACGGCGACGTGAATAATTGGTGAAGGCTGTTTAAGTTATGATGTGTTTCTGTTGACAAGGTTTCAACGGGGTGCGACAAGGTGTCGATATCTTCTGCAATGCATATTCGGCGTGGAACAGAGTTATTGTACGTGACATTGAATTGAAGTATCAAGGATTCCAGTTTTAGACTAAGTGTATATTCTTTCGCGTCAGGACAGGATACAAAGACCATCTAGTCTTTAACATAGCTAAAATGGCTGACAAGTACAAATTCGCTTTCGCGGTAAAAGCGAATGATTCGAAAACTGCTACAATTTATCTTAACTGAAAGCCAAGAAATCATCTTAGAGGTCAGGTACTTGACAACTTGTCGCTGAATGCACCATGCAGTTGTTTACTGAACTACACGGTATTTTTAGCGGCAGGTATCAAGCGACGTTTGCCTTCCTGTCAAAAAAAACATTCGTGAATGGAATTGCAATCGAGTGATGTATCATGCGATCTACTCCATTACATTAAACACCAGCAAGTTCACAAATTTCAAAGACTTGATGGGTATTTAGCGTCACCATTACAATGTTGAGCAGGTCAAAAAGTGTATTTATCATGTTTATGCAAGAGAAACCAGCTAGCCTAAAACGAGACCAGTAAATGCCAGCTTGGGGTAATTCCATCACTCGAAAAAGTAACGATGACGTGAAGACCGACCTTTTTTGGTGTCGGAGTCGGGGTCGGCGTCGGAAAAATCTCTCTTCTTCCTTTTCTTCTTCTTCTTATGGTGTTTGTGTTTGTGCTTGTGCTTGTGTTTGTGTTTGTGCTTGTTTCTCTTAAACAACTTAAATTTTCTTTCTTCCTCATCTTCATCGGGCGTGTTTACATCCTGCCCAATCTGGGCGTTTAACGCAGTCGCGGATTCGGCAATGAGGAAGCGCTCTGTCTTGTCTTCGATGGAAAGCTCCTTCTTGTCGGCGGCGGTTCCTCTCAGGGCTGAGCTGGTGACAACAGGAAGCCCATCAGTGCTTGTATACAATGCAGCAGCTGCAACTAGTGCGACGTAGTAGAGACGCATCACAGGACTGTGACAAGCCGCCTCTGCTACTTTTGCTCTTGGACGAAGATTGCGAAGTGAGAAGGCCACATGAGCGAGAAGCGCAATTCAGTGAACCGAACCTGCCAGCATTGCAATTGGGCTACTTAATGGTGGCTATCCCGAGATCTGGAGTCCAGATTTTGATGGGATATTGTATGCTTATTCGTATGCTTCTGCACAAGAGAAATGTGTTGGCCAGGCACAACAATGAACAGAGGATGGAGACCTCCACGGCCCCAACGAACCGGCTCCCCTTAATCTTCCTTGGCGGGAAGCTTGCCACAGTGGGGCCAAGTTATAAGGTCAAAGATGGAAGGGCCTTCTTCTATACTATCATAAGGATTTGATAGACAGTCTGATCGATTATTTAAGATATGTCTGGGAGGGAATTGCCTGATCTTCCGCCATAACTGCAGTACACGTCGTTCACCTCTAAAGACAGATGGCGCCTTGAAGTAAGGCCCATACCACACCGTCTGTCTTTGATGGACCAGCCTAACTGATCCCAGCTCTGGTCGGTATCGGAGCGGACGTAATCACTGTCCAAAGGAGTTCACTAGAGAACCGGTATGCCGGCTCTTGGAAGGACGTTGTTGCTCTTAGGAAAGCTAGACTCTGAGAGGTGAAAACGTAATATGAAAGGACAGAAAGCTCAATCTAATTGTCAGTGCAGCTCAACTCATCGTGAAAAGCGCGAGTACGTCTCGGGATAGCAGCCAATGATCCTGAACTTCTCCATCTTTTTCAAAAGCTGAAGGCCACGAAACTTATTGAAAAAAGGCAAGGCATGTCGCTAGCCTTTAACTGCTCAACCTGCTGCAAGCATTGTCGCAAGTCTAAAGTATTAGAAAAAAGACGACAGCTGGATGGTGCTACATGACTAACGAGATGTTTACAAGTTCTTAGCTCAAATAATACTCGTAAGTAAATGTCTCAAACGCTTATTGTTCTAGTGTAACCAATCTATATCACAATAGGAGCTCACAGAAATCATGTCCGACATCGCACAATCAACTACTTTTTCTACGTCGCATTGAAGTAAGAACTAGTAAAGCACGATGCATCTTCTTCAACTTAATTGGTCACTCTTCTTGGGAAAGAAGTTCTACGTCGCAAAACTTTTGAGCATTTCAAGCCGCATGTGCAGAGCCATATCGTGTCACGTCTGCGAAGGACATTGAAGAGCGAAAACGGTTTGGTGGCGTGGCGTGTTTGGCTCAGATAAAACGCACGTCTGCGCCGTATCAAGTTGAGGAAGTAGAGTCCTCCCAAGAACTATCGATAGGTCTACCATGCGCACTGTTAATACCACTTTGTGGCTGCTATATTGTTTCACTCGCTCATGATTGCCCGCATAGTGACCACACTCTTTAGCAGATTGAGACTTACGCAGTTAACTTTTGAAAACAAGATCAGCAACGCTTCGTACTTCAAAGTTGAAGACTGTGACTGCAAAGCGTCTGCCATATCCAGACGAACCTGGGCAGAACTCGCTTCGATGTCGTGCCGGGCCAGCGATCCATCGAGTCTACAGCTCTTTTTGAATTCGTAGCATGCAGAATGCAAGTACCGAGCAGCCTTTCTTGCAGTTTAATTTTCGACTCATGGTGCCGGTTCAGAGATGGCCGGAAATAGAGCGGAAGTGCTACGCGCGACGGTCGCATTACCTGTCGCCATGCAGCCAGTTCAGCACTCTGCAATCTGCCAAGTCGGACGTGACGGACTCGAACTTCAGTGCCTAGCAATGAATAAACTTGAAGTGTCTGCTCAGGACCCTCGCGAGCACCGGTTGGCGATGGCAGCTGCAGAGTCAACATCCAACATGCCTCTATCGGCATCTGCATTGATAACACACCCTACAGGTGCAAAGCGACGTGACAGTGCAGAATTGATCCACGAGGATGACGAGCAGTGCCGACAACAGCACGACTATGGTCACGTGGGCGGCAATCAAAGGGGGGTCAACGATTTCTCGGACGACGGCTGCAAGGTCATGGTCAACTTCAATGGCTTCGAGCCGGTGCCGGTCGGTAATCCTTTTGCATTCCCTCGATTCAATGATGGAGACGAAGACATTGTGAACGTCCGATCGCCCATAATTTGCAACCCCTCGACTTCAAACGCACGAAGCGCTTCGCTGAGTCCAACGTGCGTGTCGGCATTAGCACGCGACGAAGTTGTGAAAAGTGATACTGACTACGACGAACCATCATGGACGATTCAAGAGTTCAAGGAATACTTAGGCATGCTCGAATTGCTGCAGAACGTGAGTTGTGATGCCGAGGGCGGGGAAATGTGTCTGTCAGCCAACTGTCTTGGCCAAATGGAGCGGCTACTCACGTCACTCTTACCTCAAGGAGTGTGATCGTACCATGACAGACAGGAACGAGTCACATTCTTTGCGTTAGACACCTACCTTTGTACAAGTTACTTATCAAAATAGACGTGGCTGCATATCGTAATACGGCGTTTTCGACCACCTGCTTGATAATTGCTCTGTCGGAGCTCTCAGGGTAGTATGCAAAGATAGATTCTCCCTTTGGTGAATCCAGATCCAGCTCGTCCTATCGGTAAACGGCGAATTTGCCTTCTGCACGTCAAGGATGCGGAATCCGAGCACCATGCATGATCGCTGCTCCTTCACGTTGGTTTCCACGCTTGACTACTTTTCCCTCCGTCTTTGACAACGATGGCAGTTGTTTGTTTAGCTTTAGCGGAATAGTACGCTTACTGCATGCGTCCGGAGGCAAAGTGACTTCCAAATCGCGCTTCACTAGTGATCGCGGCATAAACGAGAACGAGCGGAGCGAATTTTCGCTGTGTGGATCACTTTCGCTGCACTCGGACGCTGTGCGCATTAGTTCGACCTCCATTGTGGTAGTAAGCCGGTCAACGGAGTCAAACGTAAAAAGGAGTTTGAATGCGATATCCAGTGCAGGAGGCGCTGATGTTTGAAAACTTGCATCGGTTGCGTTCTCTTCCATCCAAAACGTGTACACGTGATCTCCTGGTAGCAGTGCATTATGCTGCAGCTGTGCGTGCGCATCCTTCCGATAAAAGTGCGAGTCACTGTCGAATAGTACAGCTTCAGGGACGTCGATTGTCTGCATTCCTGTTGCGTCGCACTCGCAAACCATGAGCTTTCCTCGGCCCGCAACACTTTCAACTAGCAATTGCTCGAATTTGCGAATCATGAATACCAAAGGAATGCTGGTAGGAGTCAAGACACGTCTCTCACGTCGGAAAAAGTGCAACGGCCTGTCATCAGTAGTCGTCGGAAGCTCTACATCTTGAGGACTTTCTGTCTCGGTCTGAGTAACGGCTTCTGTGGTTTTCTTGTGTAAGTGAAGGCAAGCAGGTGGAGAGGAAATATTGGCAAACATACTGACGCGTTTCGTGCTACTTTGACCCGCGTCGACATCGTTGACTGACCGTCTACGAGTAGTTAATCCCGTTGGGACCTTAGAAGTCGGCCACGGGTCTCCAGCTTGGGTTGATGAAAATAACTCTTCAAGCAGATCAAAGTAAATAGCGTCGTCCTTAAACGCTTCTTCATTGACGTTTCGTTGCCGCACAAGTTTTCCTGTTCGATACCAGTCCAGAATCATCTCAAAGTGCTGTGGATTACGGTCAATAAAAAAGGCGTCATCCAAACAACCGATCTTGCCACACCCACACATGATGATCTGGTTAAGTCTCTTGTGTGGGTATTTAGCGATCAAGCTCTCTTTGCAACGAAAGAGTTTGCCACCAACATCAAATGCAACAATCCGAACAGGTCGAGTTTCTGGATCTCGAAGATCCGAGATACTCTTTGAGTGCCACGGTACACGTGTTCTTCCTACAGTATGATCTAAACTGCGAAGGTGTTCATCGAAAGAATCCCTCTGACTCGTAATTCTCGACAACACTGGAAACTTTTTATCGAAAGGTGACACATTTTTGAAAACGTTCAAAGCGTTTGCAGCCATGGTTTGCTTTGTATGCATGGAGTTTTTGCCCCAGTTGATAAAGATGGTCAAGTTCTCGTCGTTATCGCTCGAGACGTTGCGTTCCGTAAAACTCGCGTCCAAAAGGTCGTCGTCGTTGGTCACGATATGGGCATCTTCATTTTCTTTGCCATCTTTTCGTCTGGTCATGGATAAAGTCTCTTTCTTTCTCTCTCTCTTTCTCTCTCTAGACAATTGTTCTTTCTGCCTCAAGAATAAGAAATGAACGGCGAGATGCAATGCAAAGTGAACGAGTGACTGCTACTTTTCTATACGTGAAAGGTCGTAGGCGTCTAATTGGTGGAAGATAGCTTCAACCTCTGACCACTTGGCCGACGTAGCGCGATATATTCCATTGTGGCGGAACAATATACCTATACTATATTGTTCAATAGATCTATTACCGTGGGAGATATTGACGTATATTGGTTAAAGTATTTCATAGAATGAGTCGAAGAAAGAAACATTGGCTCAGTAGTGGACTTCTTTTTTGCATGGCTGGTGTTTCTGTTACAGCGTTGACGTCTGGCCGGAACTAGAGACCAAAAAACAGGCTGTTTCAAACGGATAATGAGGCAGCTGAGGTCTAATTTTTTTCGCCGGTGCGATGGGTGCTACCGATTATTTGGCATAGTTCATGCCCCTTAGTTAACACAGGCGAGATTCGAAAAATGGATGGAATCAAACGGACACCGCACAGTACAAACCATAGAGCACGCCTTCTACAAAAACATGTGACATGACTATAACATACATTCATACAAATTATGAAAATTACTACGTGAATCATATTGACCATCCAACCAATCCGCATCATTTTTATCCCATCCACACATCGTCTCTTACCTTCAAGCAACATGTATCCTCATTCACAAAATGACGCACCGCGCTGCGCTACTCCGATCAGCGCTGTGTCTGACGACGGGTATGTTTACATTCATTCTTTGATTTATCTCTTTAACTACTCACTAGTATACACCTGTAGCCAAACCACGTCCATCACCCACACTGTTTTACTTTCCTGGCCTCACGTCTACTCCATGGCATGATACTAACAATTTAAAATGGGTACAACGCCTTGAAGCCAATCGTGACGTTATTACAAATGAGTTTTTAACACTTCAAAAGAAACGCCATGGATTGGCTAAAAATTCGAATGATTACAAAGTATACGACAAGGAACATCAGCTGCATCAGGGACATTGGGACTGGCTCTCTTATGTGACACAGGGTCGTCGCCAAGCCGACTTTGCACTTCAATGTCCTAAAACAGTAGAAATACTTGAGAGTATCCCTGATTTTATGGCCGAGTCACCATTTGCTTACTCATTTTTCTCTATTTTAAAACCAAAGGTAGTGTTACTTAGTACCTATTTTGATGTAAATTGGGAAACTGATCACAACTTTTGGGGTTTTCTTGTAAAAATGTCAGTCAAGTATTAAAGCTCATTCAGCTCCATGCAATATTCGACTACGATGTCATTTTCCGCTAATAGTTCCAAAAGGTTGTGGCATAAGGGTGGGAGATGAAACACGACATTGGGAAGAAGGCAAAGCATTTGTGTTTGATGGTCCGCTGAAAATATGTTGAAAAATAATGTTGGAATCCTTTTGTTAACGCGTGGTTTGTGCTCTTTTGCTTAGATTCGTTCGATCACGAAGTGTGGCATGATGGAAAAGAAGGAGATCGGGTAATATTGCTATTTGATTTGTGGCATCCGGATCTTGTACTGGAAGAACGTAATGCTATTACTGAAATGTTCAACGACGCGAAAGAAAAGGGATGGCTCAAGGACTATCAGGATAAATGAGCTGATACACTATACGCATTTTGACAGCAGAAAAACCATGTGAAGGAGATTTGTTTCATTATTGTAAGGGGTGTAGTGAGGTAGTTGTGGAGCTTACTAAGCACTACAGTATCTAGCGCTGCCCTGCAATTGTTCATCTCCTTTGTAGACAGCCATCGTGTTGAAAATGTGTTCTAACGATGTTTCACTCACACCATATACATCAATGTGCAATCGCTCTTTGTTTTCGTCAAGAAAGCCAAAAATTGCGTAAGGTCGCAATGACTGCTTCGGCACCTGAAAACGAAAGTGATCACCTTGGTGTCCAACGAGCTGGCAGCCTGGAAATTTACAATCAAATTTCAGTTGCAGTGCACCGCCCACGTCCTTGGTGTACCACCATGCGCAAAAGACGTTAATGGGAATGGTGCCCGACGTCTCGAGGTGACTTTGGAGCACATTACCATTTCGTCTGCCTTCCACTATCTCTTTAACACGGTTCGAAACTTCAAGTGACGACACAGAATGTTGATATGGTCTTGTAAAACTCCAAGGCTATTGCATCTGAGGATACGTTGCACCTCGATCTGCAACCTTTCCACAGAAGACAAGCTTGGTTTTGCATCTTCACCTCTACGATGTAACTTTGGCCAAACTTTTGCTTAAGGTGCTCAACGCTGCCCAAACATTTCAAATCGTCATTCACCAAAATTCCCACACGCGTGCAGAGTGCTTCACATTCCTCCGTCTTATGGGTAGTAAGGATGACACAAAACTCATTGGCTGCACAAACGCTGGCGATGACATTTCACATATTCCTTCGCGAGCTTGTGTCTACTCCCGTCACAGGCTCGTCCAGGAAGAAAATCCAAAAAGAGCCAATCAATGCGATAGCTGTTAATATTTTTGCGCTTGTTGCCTTCACTCAGTCCCTGCGTTGCTTGGTTCAGCTCCAATTTCTCAATCTTTTGATTATCGGCACTCTTTACGCGGTCACTTGAGATTCCTTTGAGATGAGCGTACAGCTCAAGATGCTTCTCCACTGTAAGTAAGTCATGCAACAAATTAAATTGAAGGCAGTATTCAACCACTCTACGCGCTTCAGCGCAGTCACGAGCTAAATCGTAGCCTTTAAAGGTTACGAAACCATTGGTTAAAGCAATTTTCCCAGTCAGAACTTTCGTCGTCGTCGACATGCCAGCTCCGTAAGACAAGATAACCAAAGCACTTTTTTCGCGATGGAGAGACACAAGTCATTTTGTGACGTATCTTCATATAGAATAGTTCTTTTGCGACTCACCCCAAGCTCTTTATACATATTATGCGTCCACATTATTATAGTGCTGCATTCAGCCGCATCCACAAACTCGGAACAGCATGTATCATCAGTAATCAATTTTTGTTTATGGCTTGTATATGCGTAAGTACAACCCTTGTCGTAACACTGGAGATTCAACGCAAGACTGCTTTTACTTCCATATTATTGACGCTAATTACGGTTGAATACGCTGCCGTTGTGGGTAAGGTACGATTGCTTCACTTTTTGGCGTACCCTGGCCACATTGTCATCCTCATTACGAGGTCGCTGCTTTTCTTAAACCAAAGTGCCAATGCAAACTACGGGGTTTGAGAATAAACACCAACAGCATGAAAATCACTATCTCGATCACCGCGTAGACGATACATCCAGATCGAAAACGTTGCGCACGCAACAGTCTTCACCAGTCGCCTCATCCCAGAATGTAATACAGGCGTAGATTGTACCAAGATCTTCTCAAAGGCCAAAGAATGAAGGCGGGGCTCCTGCGTTGGTCTCGTTACCGTACAACGAACCTCTGGCTCAGTTTCCGTGTGGCAATCTCGTAAATGCCGCTGTTTAGACTGTTGCCTGGAAAAAGCATAAAAACATCGTAGATAGTTCCTGGCGAGCGAAGAAAGAGTCAATTGGTCGGATGAGTTTCTTGAAGTCAAGTCGAAGTCAATGAATCGGCACAAGAAAGAGAAGATGCTCAGCAAACCCTCCGTGCAGAGCGCAACAATTAGTAGCGATGTTTGCGCTATAGCATCCTTCTAGAACTTACAGGATAACAAAAATGCCATTGGGACCACAGCCAGAGCATGTGAGTCGACAAGCGACACAACTCTTCATACCCCCATGGAGCTTTCAGTGTTTGATCGGACAAGGGCACCAATATCATTAAGGCAAAAACCGTCACCATCATGATAACGATATCGTGTGTCCATGAAGACAACCAGTAAGCTGACACGTTTAACCCATATTATCAGCTGCAAGCTTTTTGCATTCTGGTTTGGTTTTTTTCGCGCACAACGAATCCCACAATCGCAGCTGGAACAAAAGCGAATGCTAGCATTACCACGACGGAGGTCAAAATAGCGTTCAAAATAGCCTGACGTTTTGCATGATCGTGGTTCAGGCAATACTTGAGGTAGCTCGGGTAAATTGGGCTGGACGAGGAGGTTTTGACACACATGTTGGATGGGTAGTACGAAGTCTCGACATTGTCTTGTCATAGCATGTCGAGGGACTGCAATCAATCACGCCAAGCTCGCAGTAGCTGAACGAATAGCGGTCACAAGTGCTTGGTACGAAAACTAATGCAAAACTTGTGCTTGAGCATCGTCCTTGTCGAGCCAACGACGCAAGTTCCGGTGCGTATTTATCGGTTGGCATACCTCGCTACGTCGACCTCAAAAAACATTAAACTGCTAGGGAATAACAGCGGAACGCATACGGCATTCAAAAGATTTTTTTTCTTTCTTTGCGCATTTTCTTTGTCAGCAACACAGTATATTGGCTCCACAGCGTCGCCCGATTAGTACTATCTGTCGATATTGGATCTGCCAGCGTGTCGCGAGAATCCGCTGAGGGTGCTATATTGCGGAGTTCACTAATGGATGCTGCTGCCTGCGGTGTGGAGATGTTGATCCGCTTATTCCGCTTCGCAGGCAGCAGCATCCATGGCAAATTCTTCTTCTCGATTCCGGGATTTGCGCAACAATACTTCCTCAAGAGCTGTCCTGGGCACGTTATACTGAACAATATGCATGCGTTGCATTCCATGGTCAAAAACTTGTAGCATCGTCAAAAATACCGCTGCTGAAGTAAACGGAAGCTGGAATATAAGCTCTGAGCCAAATTTGCTCAAGCATTCCGCGTGAGAAATGAAGTTGCGCCGACTGCTTTGATCATGGTCAAAAGATATCCCGCACCATAACAATTTTTCAAAAATAGCAAGCTGCCAGCGCAACAGAGCTGACCGTCTACCCTAATCGCGATACGATCGCCCAGAATGTCAGCTTCACTTATACAAGTGTGTGGTCCGATGTAACGAACTAAAAAGTTACACGGTTCGTTAAGTATCGAATACTAAACGGGCAGGCCTAAATGGGTGCGAGGTACCTTAGGCCTGCCACTTGGGTGTGGCACATCAATGTGACCCACCCTCGTGAATGTGATATCCATTTATAGATTCACATTCAACGAGGATGACGTCAGTTGGGACTGGGCGTCATGGTGTCGCTTCAGACAGATGTCACCTGCGAGCTTGAATAAATTTAAGCTCGCACGTAATGATACGCTGCTAAAGAGACGCGTATCCAATCTTTGCATTAAGCAGCCAATCAGTAGTTAAACTTATTTATAGTCAATTTCTATTAATTTTAAGTCAGTGTTCAATTTCCTAAACATAGCTCACTGCGCACGAGAAG